AGGTAGGCCCAAAATGCTTTGTCAATAGATCTCTAAAGGAATGTAGAGCTTTCCTTCTTGTCTTTTTTTGAAGGGATTCATGACTTGATAGAAGGATGAGCATTACTCCAAATATAAAGACAAAGCCAAATAACATGAGTGAGATCCTGTAGAAGTGAGGAAGGAATAATAGGAGATGAGATCAGAAATAGAAGATGCAGTCTCTGTGTAGTTCTAGCTCACTGGGAGGCAATGCCAGGTTGAGCATGTACAGTGGCACAGAAGGGATTGATGATCATGCTTTTGATTGTAAGAGGAAGGTGATGCATGTTTTATAATATAAAATATTAACCATCAATACTAGTTTGTTTTTGAAGAGCTATTGACTGAGCATTAAACATATTCCCATCTGAAAGGCTAATCTAAAATGTGTCAGAATGGGGTTTGTTTTTATCATTAAATACCCAGCCTTTAAAGAAAGCCTTTTAATTTCTACCTTGTGAAGGTAATGTCATTTGGCTTACTGTGTAGGCTTTTTCTTAGTGAAGAACTATTGCTTCATGATTGTCTTTGCTCATTAGTTTATTTTTTGCAAAACATGCAGAAACTTAGTGTCTTTGCAAATTCTATACCTTTGTCAAATTTCTTTGACACTGACAAATAGCTTTGTAAATTAATGATGGAAATGAAAATATATATGATTGCCAAATCCTTGTTCTGCTAGAAAACTGGGCTATAAATTAGCAGCATGTAAGTGTTACTTTACTTGAACTATATAGAGAAACACAATGATTTGGTTTGTTTTTGGGGGGGTGTGATGTGGAACTCTGAACACACCTAGTTAGTAGCACCAAATATACAGAGTTAACCAAAATCTGAATTTAGATGTTTTAATTTTTGTGATGTATTTCCGTCTAGTGAACTGGCAGATTTTTTTTCAGCCTTTCTCTTAAGTAAAATTCAATTAGATATGAAATTAGGAAAATCAGGTGTCCTTCAGCTGCAAAATAAAGCTTTAACTTTTCTTCGTATGTACTGAATTTTTGTGCATCTGTACTGGAGGTAAGTTAGTAGCAATGTTTTGTGCAAACCCAGCAAAGAATGAAACCACTGTTTTATGGCACAACTATAAACATAACAACCTAGGAATACTCCCTTTTATGGGCCTTTAGTATACAAAGGGAGAATGCATGAGGTATAGCAGAGTCTTAGATGTTACAGTCCAAGATGAAGAAGAAAAGTAGCTTTAGTCATTGTGATAATCTGGGGGGTGGATTTCACTGGCAGAGGGAATAAGTAAATTATAGAGGGGAAAACAGGGTCAACAGGGTAGACAGCCCAGTCAGATGGTGCGTACTGCATATCTTTTGTTACTTCTGCATCTCCTTCTGTCACTTCTCTTCAGTCTTTTCTCCCCTGTCCAAATACGAAGGAGACAAGGCAGTTTTCCAAAGTGTGTGTTTTTAAAGCAGGCCTGCCCTGGTGTAGCATCCTTCGCAGCATTGCAGTGCCTGCTTCTGCACCTTTTTCCTAAAGGTTGGAGTCTATAGTCAGCTAAGTTTAAGATACAACATACGAAAGGAAAGTTGATGCAGTTAGTTGAAGAGGTTTGTTTACCAGGAAATCAGCTAATTTATTTTGTTTCTCTATTGTGTTAACTTTGAGTGAATCTTAATTTTCTTATTTTCAATATGCTCAGGCAAGAGAAAGGGAGCAGATAGCACCGGAGCTGAAAATAGTGACGGAAAACATGCTGAAAGAAGTGAGTTTTGAGGTTGTTTATAAAAGAGAAGATAAAATGTTAAAAATGGAGCTGCATGAATGGAGACAAAGACATTAAGTAAGGAATGGCCAGGGTGGAAGCCATCAAGGGTACTGGGGGCAGGAAGAGTAATACTAATATATATCTAGGACCAGTTTTTGTAAGGTTGGTCAGCAGCAGAGATGATGTCTAGAAGTGAGTATTAAGTCAACCCTGTTAATTTTGATGCACTGTTTAAAGAGCTAGCAAAGTTCCTATCAGAAGAGCAGGAATTTTAAAAAGATCTAAAAATATTTATTAAGAAACATTTTTTTGGACTTCGATAACTTGTGAGACTAGATTGTGAACACATTCTTCGGTGAACGTGTTCCTCCTTGCTTTGATTCAGCAAGATGCTTAACGTGATGCTTATGCCTAAGTGTTGTGCAGAGACAGGGATCCAGCCAACAATTTGCTGATGATACTGATACATACCATCTGAATGTAAGGTCTCCTGCATGATCAAATTAATTACAGAAACTTGTCTCACAGGAGTAGCTGCTAGCATTACAAAAGCAATTCTGTTACTTCCACTGTCTGCATGATGCTATACAATGCATACTGAAGCTTTCAGGCAGAGTGGAGTTTTTAGGAGAGAGCCCTCTGTAAGGTTCTGGTTTTGTAAAAATTGAAAAAGGTGTTGACAATAAGGACTTCCTCAGAAAGTATGTAGGGAGAGGGCAAGGCAAATAACTCTTGTTGCTCAAGTAGAAGATTGTTTGGCACCAATTGTTGCAGAAGAATGACTTTAAGTCCTTAGTGTCTTCTCATGCTTTCTCAGTTCTGCTCCCTGAAAATTTCACGATTGCATGCATTTCTGGTTAAATATAAAGGTGTTTAAAAAGAAAAAAATAGTTTTTCTTTCAGTCTCTACAACGATCATATGGCGTGATTTGATCTGCACCCAGATATACTATTACAAATAGTCTAGCCATAATTGTTATACATTGCTACTCCTAATAAATTTTTTAAAACAGGTAATGCCGTTTTAAAATATGGTGATGGTTGAAGACTGGGACTCAAGAGGATCAAAGTGAAAAGCAAGAAATGAACTTAGTTTTCGCATGAATTGCATACTTGGAGTTGTTGTTTGCCTTGGAGAAAGAAGCTCTGACTGTTTCAATTCCTGTCACTGTAAAATTCTTAATTTTCTGTCTTAAGTCCCAAACCTGCTTCAGGTACTACAGAAGAACTTTTCCACTTAGAAAGGATCCACATACTGTGATGAGAAAAAAGTACCTAGAAATACAGTGTGATAATATCTGTAGCCCTCCAGTGAAGGAGAGGACAAGTGAAAGAAGAGAGATATTTTTGGGAACTGTTGAAATTGAATGTGATACCAGAGCCTCTTGAAAAGTGACTGAATTGTGAAAGACTTACTTCTTAAAATTTATTTCACGAGCATTGAGTCAGTTTGAATAGAAGACTGAGGTAATACAACTAATTGCTGTAAGGGAAAAAGAGGAAGATAAAAGAACATCAGAAGGAGAGACAGGAAGGTGTGGCTGTACATGTCTAAATGGAAAAATGCATTAAAACATTATTTGCTAGTAAAAATTGTCTGGTTTAAGGCTATTGTGTGCATCCTACTGAACTCTGACTCTGAATATATGGGTGATGAGGGAGTCAGTGTTCCATTAAGCATTTAAAACTTCATGGTCCTCCCTTGTCTGAGCATCTGGAACATCTTCCTTTTCTTCTTTCTCCTTTCTTAATGAACCCTTCTCTTTTGTTCTTCTGACTATTAGTTGCCTGTGCAAGAGAGGAGGTGATGTCATCTGCTTTAATCTTTAGCACCTTCAAGACTGGGTAGCTCACAGTGTTCCTTGGAGCAATTCTTAGTGTTTCTCTACCTAAACTTAACCCCTGTCCCTAGCAGTTTTCAAAAACAAGAAAAAGAAGTCCTACAATGTAGCATCTTTTTTATCTCTTTGCCTTTCAGTAACTTGAAAAAGGAGCTTGAGTCTTCCATGTTGATTTATCTTACCATGTAGCCTGTAAAGACATAGTCACTTTACCAGGTGTTGGGCATTTTGTAGTTTACTTGGGTGTGACTTCCATCACCATATTCTCTTCTTTGAAGTCTGTCTATCTCTGTTTTCCTTTCAAATACCTCCTAGGCATTCTTGTTACTGTTGAACATCCTTGAACTGAAAGAAAACCAAGCTTCCTCATGTTCCTTTTTCAGGAAGCAGTGTTCTTTTGTGTTGCTTTGGCCAAGGAAGGGTTCTTTCCAAGTGTTTGTGTTATAACTCACAGTTTTGGCTCATGTTGTGCTGTAGAGCAAACTAAACTCTTCTCTAGGACTGAGTAAAATCTGGAAATTTTTTGAAGCATACCCAAATTTTGCAATTAGAGGGTAACTGTAGGGGGAGTGGTCTGGTGAGATTTTCATAGCTGATGTCAAAAAATCTGAATTTCAGTGGTACAGTTGTCCCACAGTCTTCTACTTGAGTAGTGTTATTGACTTGATTCATAGATAGAGGTCACTGTCACTTTTTTCCTATGTTGCAAATTACACAGAACCATTTGCTTGAAAAACAAGTTGTCACTTGCCTTGCAATTGCTGTGTGATCAACCCTTCATCCTTGTTGCTTTATGGTTCTGTACTCTGGTTTCTGTACAGTTGAAGGCACTAAGTTGGCCTCTAGCTTTTAGAGCCTCAAGTGAAAAGATGTCAAGAACATACCGGATGAAAGAATGGCCTTAATGGACATTTTTTATCAAAAATTCTATTTCTCCTGCAGGGCGAACATACTTAACGTAGAATCCACAATTGCATTACGGTGTTTTGTGTGGGGTTTTTTTTTTCCATATTGTTTTCTCCCATGTTTGGGCCTTCTTGTGGTCCTCCTTTTATCACCTAAAGAAATTCCCATAGTTTTCTAGGAATATATATTTCTTGTTGCTCCTGACAGTATAAATTAGGAGATAGGGAACTTCATGAATAGGACAATAAATTTTAAAGGTGATACTTTTGACTTCCGTCAGCATAGACAAGAAGTGGATTTTTTTTGTGTTTAAAAAATGAAATTTTATTTTTATCTTTGTTATTTTTTTGACTCTGTAGATGAGTATTTAGCAACTAAACATTACAAATGCACTGTGTTTGGAGAATGTGATAGTAAATCATTATATTTTGTAGCTTAAAGATGTGTGCTGCTTGTTTATTTTACTCTTTTAGAACAAGAGGATGAAGAAGCCAGTACTGGATCTCATTTAAAACTTATAGTAGATGCTTTTCTTCAGCAGCTTCCGAATTGTGTCAACAGAGACCTCATAGACAAGGTATAGTGATGGTTTTCATTTTTTTCCACTCTTAAAAGCTATAACGCTAGATCAAATAGATTGGAAATAAAGATTTGAAGCTCTGGAGTCTAGCAGTAGCTGAATTAATTTTTAACCTGGAGGAAATTTTTTTTTTTTTCACTTAGTCATCCCTTGCCCAAATACCATGTGATACTGGTTTCGTCTGCGTGTTTTCTTACATATTTGTTTTAGAAGTAGACTTGACTTTCATTTTTTCTTCCCATCACACCCTGACAAATTACTCCCTGTCTACCTAAAGCTGCTTTCTTCCTTGTGTTGATCCAAAGAATCAGTCTGTATTCCTGTAAAAGGACATGTTTTCCAACTATGTCAGTTCTAGACAAAAAGGATTTTTCCCTACTTTTTTTTTAAAGCAGCTGCATGTAACAGAAATAGCTCTGTAAAACTTTTCTAAGGTTTAGAAAAGTATTTTCTAAAATACTTTTCAAAAGTATGGAAAAGTATGCTATATTGCTTTAAATACAAAACTGCTGCATTAAAGGTGAAGTATTGTATTGAATTTTCTCTTTATAGGCAGCCATGGATTTTTGCATGAATATGAATACTAAAGCCAACAGAAGAAAACTAGTGCGAGCACTTTTCATAGTTCCTAGACAAAGGTAAGAACTGAAGGGGACCAAGCTGGATCCACCCTTTGGTTATTTAACTTAACATGTGTATATTTTTTTAAACTGTTTAAATTACTGAAAACCAGTGCGTATTCCAAGTTGCGTTTGTTTATTCCTGATGTGCACTTAAGTGATTTATGCTAGAGCATCAAAGAAATATTTAGGATTAATGGTCAAGCAATTCACCACAATATTTTGCTGTAGCAGTGTAAAGTTTTTAATAACTAATTTCTCTTTTCTGGTACTTGCGTGTTTATAGTGGATCTTTTAATGACTTTCTTTAATCATGAGAACAGCAGAACTTACCGTCTATCAAAAAAGGAGAATATATTTCATTCAGGAGAACTTGTACTTATCTAAACTTAGCTTTATCCAAAAACCTGTGAATAGTTTAGGAAGGAGAATTTCTTGTGATATGTTAATTCTGATACAGTACATAGCCATTATAATAGCCTTGTATCTTCTGGAAAAGAGCTGGTTCTAGGCTGGCCAGTTTGGAGAAAGCAAGTATAAGAGTGTGAGCCTGGCCTCTTCTGTCCATGCAGAGTTTTCCTATTTCTCCTTCTTGCTGTGTAAGCAAGGTCCCTGCACTTACAGGAAGAGCCTTGCTTACAGAAATGATTGCAAATATTATAATAAAAATGTTAAACTCACTGGAAGAATAAGATATTTCTCTGCCCTCTGGTGAACTTGTACCTTAAAGAGGTGCAGTTGTGAAGGAGTTACTTTTCTTGCTCCACCTTGCCGTGTTTATCCTGAGAGGTTGTTTTGATGCTGCTTTTAGTTTTAGATGTTTCATCATCATCTTGGATTTCATGTTAGAGTTCACACCACTTTGATTCCATTCCCTTTAAACACTGGGGGGAAAAAACGTGGTTCCAGTGTCCGTTTTGTCTCAAGACTTATGTAGGCTACTGCTTTGAATAAACAAACTTTGGTGTTTTCTTTTCCTTGCTTTTAATCACTTCTTGCACTATGTTTTCAACCTTAATTTGAGCCTATTTCCACATCCCATCTCTAATAAGCATCTTCTGTGCTAACGCTACTCTCCTAGCTGTATACAAACCAATGGTTTGTTTGCTGACTGTATGCATTGACCTGACTATATTGATACTAGTTTTTGCGATTAGAAGTGCACATAATCTTTTATTCTGTTATGTATTCTTCTCTCTAAAAATTATGGTTTTGACACCTCAGTCTTTGGAGACTTTGATAGAGAGCCCTGATTGTGCCTGAAATATGAATTACTGACAGAGGAGGCAGGCAGTTGAATATCTTCCATGTTACATGTAACGAGGTGCTATTCAGCCCAAATTTATGATGTAGAGGAAATAACATTTCTATTTATCAGCCTGTGGGTGATCATGAAATGCATCAAAACTCAAGTGGAGCAGAACTTTTTCATGGCCTGGAACATCTACAGCTATGTAAATCTGCAGGATGACTTAGACTTTTGTCTTCAGCTGTACCATAATAGAGAATTTTGCATGTTTGCAAAATGGAAGTGGGTGGTTTGCTCATCTGTGAACATACAGCAATATTTGTACCACTGTCCTGTATTTCCTCCTGGTGCTGTAGATTCCAGATTGCTCAAGTTAATCATTAACTCTTGGCACCTCTTTGAAGATGCATGATTTTCTTTGCATAATACACCAAAGTGTGCTAGATGATAATGACCTGAAGGAACTTGTTGATATTATGCAAAGCAAAAGAGGTAGTTTCAGACAAAACAATATGATGGCTTGTAAATTCAGTGATGTGGTTTCATAGATATCATGAAAGCAAAAGTTGAGTTCCTAGTGTATTGTGACATTAAAAAAAAGGAGATGTGGTTTTGATCTCAGGCTGTATTAGGAAGCTGGTAAATTGCTGGAAATGTAGGAAGTCTCCACACTGCCACTGATTCATTCTCATCCCAATGGTAGTTCCATTATCCCACAAATTTGTTATAAAAATAACTACAATTTTTAAAAGATTCATTTTTCTGTAGGAACTCAATAGACTAGTGTAGATGATGTGGGTGGCTTAAGGAGCTTTGTGACAGTTCTGTTCTCTAATAGTTGGAACTAGTACTGAAGCGAATGTCTTAGCTGATCCATGTTGTTATTTAAGAATAATTGATTTTTATGATTAATGTCAAAAAATACTAATATTACATGTACAGTCCTTTTTTAATAACTTTCTGTTTCTGCTCCGAGACCTACTGGACTAATGAATACTGCAGCTTCCAATTTTAAGATGTTAATTTCAGTTGTGTATATATCTGCCTGTTCTTTTGCCTGCACTAGTGATGCCCATCTCTGGACTACTAAGCAGGAGAAACAGGACACAGTTAACAGTGGTTTTGCTTTGTGTATCTCTTTGCTGACCCATAATGATATATCTTTACCTTCTGTTACTGTTGTTGCATACTAATTCCTGGAGTTTCTGAAATTTCTCTCCATAGGAGAAGGCAGCTTGTTGTGGTTATGTTCCTGAGGAGTACTTTTTGTTTTTTTGTGAAAGGTTCAGAGGAGCAGTGGCCTTATAGGATGTAGATAAAGCAGTATATTTTCCAAAAGTGTTTAGTCTCCAAGCTTACCAGATAATGTTGTCTAAGTGTAGCTATTATGTTAGTAGCCATAGTAAGATATTTCAATAACAGAATAAGTTCTGGTTTTTTCTCTTGAGAGGTCATTTTTAGGAAATGTGCAGACACAACAACTTTGCCAAGAAAGTACAAAACTGGTTTCGTGTTTGAGGAGTAATGCAGACACTGTAGAGTCAAAGTCACTATGCAGTATTGCCAGGGAGCTTTCTTGCTCCCAATAGGATTGGGTACAAATGCAGGATTCTTTAAGACAGAAAACTTAATTTGACAAAAAAGGACAGTTTTCCCTCAACTAACAGTAGATCAGTGTTAGTACACAACATCATTGCACTGCTCTGTTGAATACTTATGAATGGATCACATTTACATTTTCAACTGTGATTTGAACCTCCAACCCAACAGAACAGAAAGCCTTTTAAAAAAGACTTTTCAATGCTAGTATACAAGTGACTTTCAGATTTGCATTGGAGGATTGGTTTAAAACTAAACAGCCTTTTAATTTAGGACTATGTAGTTTGCAGTAAAGTGACAGCACAGTGATTTAACCCATACTGCTCGCAGCTTTAAGGCATTTATGTGTAATACTTTACTGTTTAAATGAATTCTCTTCCTGTACAGATACACATAATTATTTATGTTTAATTACATACTGCAATTTTGTTGAATTTGTTCAATACGAGAAGCTTAAAATCTCTTTTTAGGCCTTAAATTCTAAATGATTCTAGGTAAATGCTAAATAATAAATAGGAGCCGTTGCGGCTTCTGATTTTGTAGGGTTTTTTTCCATTCTCATCTGTGGTGATCTATGAAGTTGCAAGTTTACTAAGCAAGAGATCTGTTGTTCAGCATATGGAAATTTTTAGCATTATCGTTGGCTATTCTTAATTCAGAAGGTAGTTGCTGCTTTTCTGTTAAATAGTTCTGAGCATTTTAACTCAAAAGATGTAAACCTCCTGTATATATACACCTTCTTTCAGCTTCTTATCCTGAGAATCCTCAGTAGCAAGGTCCTATTTGTTATCAGTGTTTCAGTGGCTTCCCTCATTTGAGGACAAAATCGAAAAAAAGGAGTTTATGCCCCAGCTAAGAAACCAAAGCAAAAATCTGCATTTGCATGCTATCTGATAGCATGCAAATTCCACAGCATCATTCTCGTCCCACCAAGCAATGTGGATGGCAGTTTGTACCTGTTCAGGCCCTGTGAATACACTGCATTTATCTGGATTATGATTATGGTTGTAAGGCAGAGTTATTGCTCTGTTGCTTCATTCTTTAAGCTGTCTTTCTGGTAGAATCCCAGTTAATAAAGATACAAAATGCCTCCTTCACTCTTTCTGGGTCTAAAATTTGGGTTGCATCTGTTCCATAGAGATTGTAATTAGGACTTTAATTGAGCAAATTCTTTTCTTAATAAACTAATATTTGAAATGCTACAAATGAAGATGTGCTCTTAGATAGTTCACTGAAGGGCAGTCCATGTGATCCAGAGATCCAGAGCTGACTAAATTTCAATCCAAGGTATGTGATCAAAATGACAGTGGTAAGAAGTAGCGGGTTTTTTACTATGGTAGTTTATATTCAGGGTGCTTAACTTCAGAGAGTAACTGAGTCATCCCTGACGATCTTGCTTCATAATGTAGAAGAGCAGGAAGCAAAAGCAATACTGTGGGTTTTGTGGGTTTTTAGTTATCTGCCCCCTTACAGAATCACAGAATCACAGAAACACT